GAGGAAATGCCGATGAGGGTCGTGTTTTGCAGAAATTTCCGCTAATGGCAGAACGCCTGCCCAAATAACGCCAGCGGCTTGGCACGTTGGCAAGTGTTTCTTCGCCTTGTGCTCACATAATGCCCCAACAGGGGTCTTACATGAAGTGTTTTCCACGCTTTCTGTCTCTTCCTTTTATTTTTAAGTTGGACGGCACCTCAAGTTCGTATTCAAATTCCACTAATGATTTTTTATCGTGGAGCGTGCCCTCAGAAATTTCTTGCTAGTAATGAAAGCCGGGCAAGATTACTCCTTAAGCGTAATTTCATCAGTTGTTTCATTTTTTCTATCTCATATTTTGATTATAAGTCTCATTTTCAGGTTAATTTGATGAATTCCGAAGTGACAAACATCAGAGAGTTCTCTGATCCGCCGGAGCTGAAAGTGGTCTTGAGTCATGTGCCTTTCGCAGTTATGTCCTACGATTACTCTGGAAAAATGGTCCGTTTCTGCTGTTGACATTGTAGTTGTTAATCGAATCGTAACAGTATTTGGATAGCGGTAAATCTTGAAGGCATATGGCACGATAACTTTGAACTAGGTCTAAAATGCTAGCAGAGTGCTAAATAGTGGCAAAATGGCGAAAAAACGAAGTGAAACGGTCAAAAACCTGCGAAAAAGCCTTCGTTTACATGACTAGAAAGCAATTTCGGACGAGTTTCCCGTAGGCATCGTGCCAATAACCGCTACGGTAGATACGGCTGTATGTACTCATATATCCATGCAGCACCGCGGCCGCTTCATATCAATCCCTTCGCTTCATATTTTACTTCGCAAATGAAGCAATACGAGCATCAGGTACGGTCGTCCATTTGTGGGCGGGGGAGGGGCGCGGGCGTCCGGGTCGGTATGTTGCAGCTTGATAAGGCCTTATAAGGGTATCTTCCTTGGGAAAGGTGGCTACGCAGCGCCTGCTCAGAGGCGCGGAATTCCGTGAACCTTGCTCGTCTTAGGGATTTATCGTGCCAACTGCCTTTGATGGATGGACTTTAGGTCCGAAAATAGATCTTGGAACTTTGGCATTTTTTGGTGCAGTCTTCATGTATCGTTTCAATTTTCAGAGAGGAGAGCTCAAACCCGACCTGATATTGAGCGCCCATGACCACAAGGTGAGCTTTAACTACAACTCATTACAAATTCTTGCGCGTCAGCTGGCGTGTGCGCCATGTACTCGGTTTCTGCTCCAAAACGTGAACTTGATTGAGGTTACATACAGTCTTGTTCGCTGCGTATGCTGGGGCGTGCTAGTGGACCAGGTTTCGCTCGGCTCCATGTTGTTCTCCACAGTCCTTGAAATGGAAAGCGACAACAAATGTTCGCGCCGCGCCGAAGCCAGCTCTCCTACATGCCCTGGCATTCGCAACGAACAAGACTGTACATGCAGTTTATAGCGTGCCCTCAAGAATGTTTCCGCTGAAGCCAGCGAAACCACAGTAGCTTTTCTGAAAACCGATCAGATATCTTTTACAGGATCTGCTGTACCGCTGAGGTATACCACTTTCTTAACTCAAAACTTCAAGGTGATGAGGCTAGAGGCGAAGGAGAACTTGGTGGTCGTACTGTCTCCCCAGCCGTGCCAACAGCCGTTCAAATTCTGCTCGTGAAACGTACCAAAGAGATCTCCTCGCCAGCATCTAGCAAGCTTAGCTGCCACTATCTCGCTGAGAAGGCGCCACAACCTCAGCTGTCGCCAAGCGCGTTTGACCTGACCGTATGGCGTAAGTCATGGCCGTGTGGCGTGTCGAATGGTTAGCGGAGACATCAATAAAATCAAACTGTCACAAGCCTACAGCATCATTGTCAGGCATTTTGGAATGTCAAAACTAGTGCACTAAATCCGCTGCGGACCTAACTTGCGCGCGGAAAGGGTCGCCCTTTTCGAGTAATTGCACCGCCCATTTTGCGAGCCGAGTTTCGACCCTTGTAGTCCCTAACTTTGTCTTTAATCAACTGATATTAGTGATATTCCTAGGAAATATTAATTTTCATTGATTATTTTAGGCTGGAATTCATCATTTAACAAGATACAGTCAAAATGTCAATTCCAAAGATCTCACTGGCATCGGCGGTATTCAAGAGTGGACTATTGATGCGAAAGAAATACTTGAGTTACAGACGCCTACCTGCTCTTATAGGTATTTAATTTAGCGATTCATTGATATCCTCTAGAGGTTCGACTGCTTTCACTCTTCTATTCGCCGCGTAGTTGAAAAAATGGGAATCGATCGCGCGCGCGCAAAATCAATAGTTTACTTTCAAATGCGCTCATCGCAGAGATACGCTGAAGTGTGGACGCAGTGAAAATAATCGATATTTTCACGCGATTGAATACCTCAATTTCAGAATGGGTACATTCGACGTGGGATATGGATTCGTTCGAATCGATCGATACGTGGACGATGATATGTCAAATCGATATCGAGTGGCGTTTTCGGTTCTTTGGATCCATAGTCGATTCTATGCTTTACTACTCTATGCCGCTACAAGTTAGTGCGGGCTTGTTGATGTTGTTGTTGGAAATGGGTTTTATTTGTATCACAAGGAGACGCAGATATCCATGTTTGCCTATGTATCGACCTATCAATCGGTATTGACTTGTGTATCGATTTTTTTGTGTAGTTATAATCTATGTAGGTTTTCCGTTGTTTTTTAGGTTTAAAACCTCATTTTCATAGCGGGTGCTCATTGTCGTGATTCGTGCTTTATTTCTACATGAACGACCTCTTCTAGGCTTTAAATGTAATGAATATTTCGAAGTTTATGTGTGGTTATTGTTGGTAGTACAGAGCTTTATCAGCACTAGTTGTCTTTCGAACACTCTTATTTTATACTCTCTTGAACTGGGAAGACTGTATCATACTTTTCATATAAGTCGTTTTCCAGAATCTGTTGTCGCTTTAGCTGTTAGAGAACGGGTTTGACTTCGCACCAGACCTATAACGCCTGACACGCCCCTTCATCCGCAGCGAACTAGACTACACATGGGAGCCAAGGCATGGCACGGTCGGGACTATGCCACGCCATAGGTGCTTCAAAGAAGGGAACTGGGTGCAAGTCTCGTTCGCTGCAGCCGCTGGGGCTTTTCAAGGGGATGGGTTGGCGCGGCGCCGGTTTGTTTCCCTTTTTCTTCTGGGAGGTCACAAAACTGATTGATCTCGTTCGTATCAACCGCTTTCCACCAATCTTGTCGCTTACACTCTTCAACAGTTCGAAAACGGCTTCAACAGTTGTTGAGAACGGGTTCTCACTGCCACGCCTCCTCATCGCAGCGAGCAAGACTGTTGCGCTCATTCTAAGGCTTAGAAAAGGCATGACGGGTTAATATAGTTCAATTTCTGTCTGGAAGGGATCGCACTGGAACTGGCTAGGGTTCATCATACAGGGCACTTGATTAGGCGGCCAAAGGGTCGCGACGCGGCTGCGGCGCGTCACGACCGCGGCGATCAGCTGTTTCCAGCCTGGTTTAGCCATTTTCTCCCTAATTTTCACTGTTTTTGGCTGCTTTTCTTGAGGTTAGTTGTTCCTTGTCTTCACAAGGTAAATTATGATTGAGATTTCTCTGATTTTGCGAACAATTGAATAATTAAACAAACAATTAAACAAATACCTAAAAAATCGCAAACACTTCATTCCAGAGACAAAAAAAGAATCCACGTCCTTAATACACTTCATAAAGACAATAACACAACTTACCTTGAAAAAAATAGAAAATACAGTGAAAATTAGGGAGAAAATGGCCAAATTAGGCTGGAAACAGCTGATCGCCGCGGTCGTGACGCAGCCGCGTCGCGACCCTTTGGCCGCCTAATCAACTGTCCGGATGACGACTGTACCGCTGTGGAATTACGGAGAGGAAAGGTGTATTCATTAGAGCTGAGAACATGGTTCCTCCTATAGCTTTGCTCTGAAATGAAGATGTTCATTGTTTTCCCATGCTTAGTTTCCAGCGGCAAACCGTTTCCAGACGATCTCAGCTACATTCCACATCCTCGGAGGTGGAGTGGGCGTGGCTGCATACTTCAGTTAAACGTGGCGGCGGCCACTCTTTCAGTAAAATATTGCTGTTTTGGGAGGACCGTAATCATGTATTGAAAGAGGCGCATAACAGGATGACATTTGTCACAAATTGAAATTTTCCACAGGATGCTTACTACATCATGCTCAAATAAAGCCCGCAGCCACGCCCTTTCCGTCTTCAGGATGTGGGGTGTACATAGGCATATCGCTTCGAGGAATATACAAGGAAGGGGTTTTATTTAAACCGGTGGGGAGAGGAGCTCATATTGAGCTTCCAAATTTCCGTGAGAGACTTTCTGTGGTAATGCAACAATGTGTTTCGTGAAGAAATGCAGATGTAGGAGGAAAGGGAGTGAGTGAAGTTCTAGGGTGAAACACGCGTACGGTCTGGCGGTCAAACGCCGGATCGTCTCCCGCCCAGGCCATCCACGTATTTCACCCTTTGGGGGCGATATATTGGTACAGAATTCGTTCTGAGAGG